AGCCTGATCGCCCCTAACTGCCCTCCCTTCAGGCCTGGTCACCCCCAACTGCCCCCTTTTGCCGGTCTGGTCACCCCAAACTCTTCCCCCCCCCAAAGGCCTGGTCACCCCATGCAGCCTGCTGCTCGGTCGTCCGTCCAGTTGTTTCGATCGTGAGGGCTCCTGGCTTTTTATATATTAGGATAGATATTTATTGATTTTCAGAGAGAAAGGGAGACGGAGAGAGAAATACAAACATCCATGATGAGAGCGAATCATGGACCGGCTGCCTCCTGCACGCCCCCCACTGGGGATCGAACCCACAACCCGGGCCTGTGCGTTGATTGGAAATCAAACCGTGATCTCCTGGTTCATAGGTTGACGCTCAAACACTGAGCCAGGCCCTCCAGGCGACACACCCTTTCTTCTCTCCTGCATGTTCTCCTGAAAACTCGTTCATCTCCCCTCCCCCCTCAAAAAAAATTTTGTTTTCCCCTAATCATTTGTTCTCACCTTCCCATCTGCCACTGAATTAGGTTCATAATCCCCTGGTTCTAACCATGCTTTTGAGTAACTACTCATCTCTGAGTTTCTCCCTCGTGTATGTGTGTTGTCCATGCAAATTCTGTTCCAGTCCTTCCTGCCAATCTTCCTTTTCTCAGCTTAATTTGCAGGCCCCAGGTGCAGAACCCAAGAGTTTGGAGGGAAAGATTTTTATTTTCTTCAAATTTCTACGTCTCCAGTTTCACCTTTCTTTCCAGTCCCGTGAGTGACTGTCCCCCTAGTCCTTCTGCGTTCATGGCTTTACTCTCTCTCTCTTTTTTTTTTTTTTAAATATATTTTATTGATTTTTCACAGAGAGGAAGGGAAAGGGATAGGGAGTTAGAAACCTCAATGAGAGAGAAACATCAATCAGCTCCCTCCTGCACTACCCCACTGGGGATGTGCCCGCCACCAAGGCACATGCTCTTGACCGGAATCGAACCCGGGACCCTTCAGTCCGCAGGCCGATGCTCTATCCACTGAGCCAAACCGGTTAGGGCTACTCTCTCTTTTGTTTTAATATTTCTTTTAGGCCACGTGAATGGAGTCTATCGCATTATAGACTCCTTCCTTTCAATTTTTCTTGATGGTAGAGAGAACCTTTCCTACCTCTGCCTCTGATATCGGTTGAATCGTTACGGTGAATGAAAAAGCAGAAATCGCTTCGAAAGCTGTTGTATTTCGTAAGTCACCAGATATTTTCTCATATGCGTACTAGAGGCCCCAGTGCATGAATTCGTGCACCAGTGGGGGGTCCCTCGGCCTGGCCTGCAGGATCGGGCCGACACCGGCTCCCCGACATCCCCTGAGGGGTCCCAGATTATGAGAGGGTGCAGGCCAGGTTGAGGGACCCCACCAGTGCACGATTGGGACCGGGGAGGGACACAGGAGGTTGGCCAACCGGGGAGGGACCATGGGAGAGCTCCAGGGAGTGTCTGGCCCATCTCAGTCCTGATCAGCCGGACCCCAGCAGCAAGCTCACCTACTGGTTGAAGCGTCTTTCCCCTGGTGGTCAGTGCATGTCATAGCAACTGGTCAACCAGTCGACTCTCTGCCCCCTGGTGGTCAGTGCATGTCATAGTGAGTGGTTGAGCAGCCTTAGCATATCATTAGTATATTATGCTTTGATTGATTGAACGGCCAACTGACGACTAGACACTTAGCATATTAGGCTTTTATTATATAGAACTACAAGCCACTGGGTTAACCAATTCCTCTAATGTTCTACAACACTTTTACTTATTATGATATTTATATGTATTATTAAACAGATACATATATTGTATTTACATATATGATTCTATCTTAGTATAGAATCATAGTTGAAAAATACCGTGTGTGTGTGTGTGTGTGTGTGTGTGTGTGT